ATATATATATATATATATATATATATATATATATATATATATACACATTTGTTATATATAACAAATGCTCAGTTTTCAACAACAAAAAATTATAAGACACAAAAAGGAATAAGAAACTATTGCCCATATATAGGAAATAAAATGGAAATAGTCCTTAAGAAAGCCCAAATGTTATTTTAGCAGGTAAAAATTAAATTAGCTACTATAAATATATTTAAAGAATAATAGTAAAATATATTTAAGGAATTAAAGAATAAAAGAAAATTATGTCTCATTAAATTGATTAATGAAAAAGTAACTTATTTTAAAAGAACCAAATAGAAATTATGGGATTGAAAAGTAAAGTAACCAAAATTAACAGCAAATTTGACTTGGTATAAGAAAGAATAAGTGAGTTTGAAGATAGGTCAATTGAGATTTTCCAATCTCAGGAACAGAAAGGACAAAAAAATGAAGAAAAATGGAACAGAGGATTCAGAGACCAACATATCCATAATAGGAGTCCTAGAAGAATAGAGGAGAGAATATTGAAAGAAATTATGATCAAAAACTTAAAATTTTAATGAAAATCATCAATCTATATATCCAAGAAGCTTGATAAACTCCAAATAGAACAAACACAAAATATCCAAACCTAGACACATCGTGATCCGTCTGTCCATAAACAAAGAGAATCTTGATAGGAGCAAGAGAGAGTGACTGATCAAATACAAGGTTCTCGGTAAGATGAACAGTGGATTTCTCATTAGGATCCATGTAGGCCAGAGGTAATGGGATAAAATATTAAAAATGCTGAAAGTGAAAGATTGGTCTGAATTTCTTTTCAGAAATTGATGAGCTTCTCCTAAAATTTATATTTGAATTTTATTTTCAGATTGGTCATTGCTGTTGTGTAGAAATACATTTGTCTTTTGTAAATTGATCTTATATCTTGCAACTTTATTAAACTTGTTTATTCCTTTTAATAGCATTATAGAATTCTGTAATTTTGTATGTACACCTATTACGTGTTTTCATCAACAGTTACTGTCTCATGCCTCTTTTCCTGATAGGCCTTAAAAACTAGAAAAGGAGCTCTAATCTATCTTTACCTTGGAGTCTGCCACAAAGAAATTCTCTGACCTACCTTATCTGATAGTAGATGATAAGACCCTCTTATCGAGATCCCTCCAGTAGATACTGGCCAACTGAATGGGACTGAATAGGATTTGGGTTTCCCTCTAACCAACAACCACAATATATGTGATCATGTCTTGTGCAAATAGAGATAATTTAGAGCTTTCCTTTTCAATCTGCACATTTTTTATTTCCTTTTCTTGCCTCAGTTCACTGGTTAGTTTGCTAGCAACAAATTCTCCCAGTTTTTGTTCTTCATTCATTATTGAATAGTAATTCTACCAGCCATAGAATTTTTTATTTGCATATGAAATAATTTTCTATATAGAAAATCCTAAGAACTCCTATGAAACTATTACAAGTACATATGTTGTAAGGTATAAGACAACATCAAAGACGGTAATCCTTGAGGCTGGGGGGGGTGGTGTAGTTGAGTAATGAAGGTGCTTGAGTTCAACTCTCAGCATAAGGAAAAAAAAATAGATGGTAATACCTCCCAAATTGATCTACATTTGTACAATCTCTATCAAAATTCAGGCTGGCTTCTTTGAGGAAATTGGCATAATTCTCCTAAAATTTATATGGGAAAGCAGGGGATACAAAACAGCAGAAAAAAACATGGAAAGAACAAAGGCAGAAGAGTCACATTTCCCAATTTCATAACGTACCACAAAG